GTGTCCACAGCACAAGGCAGGGAGCAGAAGGAGATCGCAGTGAGGCAACCTGGGTGGGGATCTGGGAGAGGCAGCTATGAATCCCTACCTCATCACCTTGTACAGTCCTTGGTACAGGGCAGGTACTCAGGAAATGTTTGAGAATGAATGGGATGAGAAGTACTGGCTCTTCTCTCACCCTCTGCCTTCTCTAAGCAGTAGGGACCCTCACTCTTACCCCTTTCAGACAAGCATCGGTTAGTCATACTGCTGTCAGCCAGGGCCTGGCAGTCCCCTGCTGGGAAGGCAAGGGTGCCTTTATCAGTCCTCTATCCAGAACGACGATCCCACAACAGCTAATAGGGTGAGCTCAGGTGCCTAGACTACTAGTGAGAGAATTATAGATCCCACCAGCCTGTTAATAACCCTTTAGAAGACCTATCTGTAGGCACCCCTCCGACAGGAATAGCAAGCGCCCACACAGGGCCTGAATGCATGTATATAACAGAGTATATATGCACACATGAATTGTGTATATTTTTTTGAGACAGGGTCTTGCTATGCAGTTCAGGCTGGCCTTGAACTCATTTTGTAGCCCAGGCTGGCATTGGACTTGGATCAATCCTCCTGCCTCAGCCCTCTCAGTGTTGGGCTGGCCACACCTGGCCTGAATTGTGTATTTCTGCAAATACACATAGGTCTATATGTTTCTGCATATGCTGGTATGTGCCTGTGAGCATATGTGGATATATCAGTGGGTCTGTATGTTGTGTGTACTTATGTGCATATGCATGTATGGGTGCATATGTGTGTAATCACAAGTTCTGTATAGGATGAGAGTTGCCATGTCATTCACAGTGTTCTCCTGGCCTGGCTTAGACATCATCTGTCTAACCCAGGAAGACACCACATCAAGAACTGTCACAAGGTTCAAGAGCATCAGAGTGAGTCTGGTCTCAGCAGGCCTTCGTGGACAGCTAGGGGGGGCTTCACTGGGCATGGGCTGGCACTAGTAGATACACCATGGACTGCAGTGCTGGTTCCTGCTCATCTGCCATGGGGGAGGACAGACAGACCTCATCAGAATGATGTCCTGATATCAAGTAGAAACTCATGCTACAATTGTCCTAGCCCCCTTAGGACCAGAAGTGCAAGGAACTGACTTCTCCCCACCTTTAGCATATGCATGCTGGCCATTTTCACCCTAGCCTTTGGCTGCCTTCAGATCCCAGCTCAGATGTTACTCTCCAGGACTCAAGAACTGTCACAAGGTTCAAGAGCATCAGAGTGAGTCTGGTCTCAGCAGGCCTTCGTGGGCAGCTAGGGGGGGCTTCACTGGGCATGGCCCTCTCTGATCTTCCAGTCTAGGTGGGCTCCCCTGCTGTAGGCTTCCAGGACCCCTGCCCCTGCCCATCCTTACTCTGCATTCCAGCGTAGCCCCTGCCCCATCCCTCCACTCACTTTGGATGCCTGATGGCATGGCAGCACCCCCCTAAGCCTCTCCTTTCTCCTCTACCCCCTGCCTTATCCCATTCACCCAATGCCAGGCCCAGACCCACAAGGCATGTTTGGAGCTGCTTTCTCTGTCTACACCCATCCAGCCCAGAGCCACACACAGGCCGGTTTTGCTGTCAGGATAAGGCCTGGTCATACTGATAGGCTGTTTTCTGGCCCTTGCTTTTCTCTGAGAATAGCAGAGGTTCCCAAGGGCATATGTATACCAGTGTGTATGTGCCACACACCCACATCCACATAGCTCGGTGGCCAACAAGCTGTGTCACCAAGAACAAATATCCTGGAAACATTTTTCTTTCCCCTCTGGGGCCTATGGATTCCTTAGAGATAGGCCACCATGTTTCCCATGCATATGCTAAAGGTGGGGAGAAGTCAGTTCCTTGCACTTCTGGTCCTAAGGGGGCTAGGACAATTGTAGCATGAGTTTCTACTTGATATCAGGACATCATTCTGATGAGGTCTGTCTGTCCTCCCCCATGGCAGATGAGCAGGAACCAGCACTGCAGTCCATGGTGTATCTACTAGTGCCAGCCCATGCCCAGTGAAGCCCCCCCTAGCTGCCCACGAAGGCCTGCTGAGACCAGACTCACTCTGATGCTCTTGAACCTTGTGACAGTTCTTGAGTCCTGGAGAGTAACATCTGAGCTGGGATCTGAAGGCAGCCAAAGGCTAGGGTGAAAATGGCCAGCCTAAGGAGTAGAGTATGTAAAGGCCTACAGGGGTATGGGGTGTATGAGAGTGGTAGGGTCCACAGAGGACTTACATCCACCTACTGTTCCCTTTGAGACCAGCTTCCTCTTGGGGAATCAGACCTGTTTTGGGGGCCTTTTCTCACTTCTTGTCCTACCTCTCAGAGGCCCTGGCAAGCTGAGTGCCTCTTGGGTGCCGCAGGCAATGCGGACCTGAGCCCAGAAAGACAGGAAAGGCCACCTTCCTTAAGAGAAATAATGTCTTTAATATCCAGGACACCAGGTTTCTGGCAAGAAAGACCCTCTCCCAGGTGCCCTCCTGTAGTATCCTTGATGGAAGTTCACAGCTGCAGGACAGGCCCTGGTCAGGGCAGCTCTGGCTTCTTGGTTTGATCATGGCAATTTCCTGGAACTCAGGGTCCAGAAAGTGACAGCAAGGACTCCTGAGCCCACCCCGCCTCCCAGGGCAGCCCTGCTGTGACCTAGTCTATCCACAGTGCAACTCCACAGTAGCTGTTCAAGATGGAGGCAAGGCCTCCACTCAGAACCCAGACTGTGGGCTTTTCCTCCAACCTGGGACCCTGCTGGTGCATCCTTGGCCAGGGTAGATTTCTTGTCACCTGCCTTGCTTCCACAGTCACCCACTCCTCACATTTCCTGCCTTTTCCTGTATTCATCCAAACCTTGCCTCTTGTCACATCCAGTCCGTCTCCATCTGCCCATTCTCACAGATCGTCCCTGCCTGTGTGTCCTGCAGGATGCGGAGAAGCCGGACAAGACGCATCTCAAGCTAATGTGAGAGGTTTCATTTCTCTAGGGTTGGGTGGGGGGACTGCTGTCGCACTTGGGAGGCACCTATTTCAGTTGAACCGTCAGTCAAGGGTCATCAGAGCCATGGGCAATCATTAGGCAACCACACCTCAGCACAGGGAACACACAGCCTAGTCTCACTGACAGCATGAGCCTCCCAATGTATGTGACTCTGGCCTACCCTCAGATTTACTGGACAATGACTTTGACTTGTTTTTTGGGGGGGTGGGATTGGCGTCTTGCTAGGTCCCTAAGTTGCCCGGGCTGGGTTTCCCAAGAAGCTGGGATTACTGGCATTTTCCACTGCATCCAGGTCAGGCCTTTTTGAGTACTGCCTCCATCCCAGACAACCAGCACCCAGAATGCCAGCTGCAGGGTTAAGCCTTGAAGGAAGGAAGCAAGGATCCACAGACTGGCAGGACCCTGTCCAGGCTAGCACTATCCTACATCGGGGAAACTGGCCAAGAGGTAAGAACCATATTCCAGTCACACAATACATCAGTAAACAAACAGGAAAGAATCTGGATCTCAGCCTCTCAGGACTAGAAAGCTCTTCCTAGGATCTAGGGAAGCTGGTTCTTGCCCAGCAACCCAAAGTCAACCCTAGGCAGAAACGTTGACTCTGATTTATCACTCTGGGCATCCAACCCCCATGGATAAGACTTATCTACTTTCCAACAGTTCTCTGCTGCACTGACAGCACCTCGCAGATAGTCCCTCTCAGAAGGCTGAGGGGTCTGGAGTTGCTTTTGGTGCCTTCTGGGCAGATGTCAGCTGAAAGCTGAAATGCTCTGGCTTTCAGTCGTCCTCACTGAAGCAAACATCCCTCCCTTCTGTTGAGGGTGGGGGCAAAGAGGCTCAGCTGAGACAGAGTAGGAGACTTAAGTACCAAAGTCAGGAGGGCACCAAGCCGGCTGAGAACTAACCACGCAGACCCCTCCGTTCTAAGTGAAAGGCTACCCCGGTTCGGTGCGGACAGCAGTGCAGGTCCTGCACACTGACGCCGCCTAAACCGAGCAGTTCTGTTCCAAGGGTACCTGAGGCCCATTCATCTCTATTGCCCTGCCCACCAACCCAGACGACACGCCACACTTTGAGGGTCAGGTCCACTTCCCGCCCTGGGTGGAGCCAACGGCGGGCCCCGCCTCCCTCCGGTAACAGCTCCTTCCTTCGTGATTGGCTCTCTACGCTGTGCATGCCCGCCTACCTCGAAGGTTGATTGGTACATTAGGGGAACGCTAGGCGAAAGACAGCTGATTATAAAGAGCACTTCCCTCCTACCCGCTGGGGTGGAAAAGTCACGTGGCGTTTCACTTTGCGTTTGTCACTACCCTGCTTATAAAAAGCGTTTTTAAAGGGCTCTCTCTCCCTTCCCAGGCTTCTCCCCTAGTGTAGGAGGCTAGCAACACCCCTGAGCCGTCCGTCCAGCCCAGCCAGTCATCTAAGTGGCGGTTCCTCAGAAAGCCTGCAGGGATCGAGACCCTCCAACTCCGGTCTCTGAGACCGTGAGCGTCAGGGGATGCTGCGGTTGTCCCATATAAAGTATCCGCCCAGAACCTTGCCTGGCACGTAGTGGGCGTGCAGTTTCCGTTTGCTGAATGAAGTCGAGGAAAAAATGAATGAATGAGATGACCGGCGGGAGGCATGGTGTGACCGACCTCTCGCCCTGCACCGCAGTCCCGGGGCACCTCTGCTTCTGTAAATGCCGGGTGCCAGATAGGGAGAACCCCTCCCTACTCTAGCTCTTCCTCTGGGACACAGAACAGCTTAGAGGACAGGCACGGGGTCGCCCGAAGTGGCTAGGTTCGGCTGTCTGAGCAGCTGATAGCCAGTTCCGGGCCAAGAGAAACCGCGGAGGCGCGGGGTGCGGGGCTCCAGGCCCAGCCCTGGGAGGGGGCCGCGGCGGCGCGGCGCCTTTAAGCCCGGGCGCCGGCTGCCGGCCCCGCCCCCGGGAGGACGCCTGGGCGCGCGGCCGCCGGAGCCGCCGTTTAATTGGGGCTGTCAGGCCGCGGCGCGCGCGGAGGCCAGGCGGTGGGACTGAGGCCGGGAGGCCGGGGCGGCGGGCGCAGCTCGGCGGGAGGCGGGCGCCCGGAGACGCGGCTGGGGCCCGCGCGGCCGGGGCGCCGTCCCAGGGCAGGGCTGCCCGGCCCCGGCCCTGGGCCCGGGCCGCCCGCGCTGCCCATGAAAAACCAGCTCCGCGGCCCCCCAGCGCGGGCTCACATGTCGGCTTCGGGGGCTGCGGGGGCTGGGGACACCCGGGCGGGTTCGGAGCCCGGCGCGGGGTCTGGGTCTGGCGCCGGCACTGGGGCGGGCGCGGCGACCGGAGCGGGAGCCATGCCCTGCAAGAGCGCCGAGTGGCTGCAGGAGGAGCTGGAGGCGCGTGGTGGCGCGTCCCTGCTGCTGCTAGACTGCCGGCCGCACGAGCTCTTCGAGTCGTCGCACATTGAGACGGCCATCAACCTGGCCATTCCGGGCCTCATGCTGCGCCGCCTGCGCAAGGGCAACCTGCCTATCCGCTCCATCATCCCCAACCACGCCGACAAGGAGCGCTTCGCCACACGCTGCAAGGCAGCCACCGTGCTGCTCTACGACGAGGCCACAGCCGAGTGGCAGCCGGAGCCTGGCGCCCCCGCCTCTGTGCTTGGCCTGCTCCTGCAGAAGCTGCGCGACGACGGCTGCCAGGCCTACTACCTCCAAGGTGAGGGCAGCGTCCAGACCCTCTGTGAGTTCGAGGCTCCCCCTCAGTGTCCCCAGCGCCCCAGCTGTAGGCTGTTTCCTCTGCGCTGGTTCCACCAGGCCAGACGCCACGTAGCCCCTGGCCTGTGTCCGCCCTCCCCGCAGCGGGGGTTTAGGCAAGCGCTAGGGGCCCCTGTTAGGCACGATCCAAGTGGGTGGGACCAACTTTTCCTTGCCTGGGGTGTTCGTTTTTTTCCTGTTGATGGGGCGACAGCAGCGCCCATGCTCCAGAAGAGCTCCTTGGAGGTGGGGCAGAGGCGGCCCTCTGGAACCCAATAACGGCAGGGCCCAAGGCCAAACCTGGAATTCGTGTCCTGGGAAGGCCAGGGTCAGGAAAGGCACCTTTCATAGCACCACCCAACCCCCTTTACATAGGGACCCTTTATGATGAGATCCCTTGGATCTCTGTATGGCCCCTGCCACCTGGGAATTGCTGCCCAGTTGGAGAGGTTGCAGGCAGTGTCCTTACCCTGGCCCAGACCTCACAGGGACCCCGAAACCCCAGTCTGCTGCCCCAGAGCTTATGGAAGCGGGAGGCTGGGGTGGGGGTGGGGGGTGAGTGGCTGCAGCCCGTGTTTCCAATTAACATTCCAAAATGGCCTCTCGCTGGCAGTGGGACGGCAGCAGGGAAGGGGAGGCCTGCAGCACCCTCGGGAGCAGGGCCCATGCCTAGCTGCAAGCCGCTCCCCATCGTTTCTGTCCCTATATAACCCAGCGGCCCTCCCCTGTGCAGTTCTAGTACTGGGGGCCTTGTGTTCTAAGGGAGGGCTCCAGAGAAATGGACCCAGAGCCCTTTCACTAACTTGCCTGTGTTGGAGGGAAGACAAGGCAGTACCTTCACATCACCCTCCCCCATAGGCTTTTGGGGTGGGCAGTCTGATACCCCGTCAGGAGACCGTGGCCCTTTGTGCATCTGGCTGGCCCAGGTGGCCCCTAGGGACTCATCTGTAAGAAAGCTTGGCAGATCCACAGGTGCTGGCCTGAGCTGGGTTGTCTGTTCTCTCCCCCTCACTTACTGAGCACTGCTGGATACTAAAATGGACAAGGAAGCTTCAGGACAGGAATGAGGGACCTATCCTCAGATCTCCTAAAGCTGGTAGCATGGTTAGAGACCCTGTAGTATTCCAGGCAAGGGTCAGAGCTCAGGCCTCAGTTTCCTCATCTGTGAAGTGGTCATAGTTTAGATGGAGAGAATGAGTGAGAGAGTTTGCATGTAGCATCCTTGGTGTGGACACACTGACTGTGAGCCTGACATGGGGACCTTGGCCACTGGTGGTTTCTTGGCCACTTTGGACTTTAACCAGTGTCTCACCCTGCCACAGGTGGTTTCAACAAGTTCCAGACTGAGTACTCGGAGCATTGTGAGACCAACGTGGACAGCTCTTCCTCACCTAGTGACTCACCCCCCACCTCGGTGCTGGGCCTGGGGGGCCTACGCATCAGCTCTGACTGCTCAGATGGCGAGTCAGACCGAGAGCTGCCCAGCAGTGCCACCGAGTCAGATGGCAGCCCTGTGCCGTCCAGCCAGCCAGCCTTCCCTGTCCAGATTCTGCCCTACCTCTACCTCGGCTGTGCCAAGGACTCCACCAACTTGGATGTGCTCGGCAAATACGGCATCAAATACATCCTCAATGTTACCCCTAACCTGCCCAACGCCTTTGAGCATGGTGGGGAGTTCACCTACAAGCAGATCCCCATCTCTGACCACTGGAGCCAGAATCTCTCCCAGTTCTTTCCCGAGGCCATCAGCTTCATTGGTAGGTGGTACTGGGAGCTGGGCAGGGTGAGTGGGTGGATGGGTGGGCACATCAAGGTGTACGCAGGACTCTGGGTGTCGTCCCTGCCTAACTGGCATCCTCTGGGCCTGTTGAGACCTGTGTGTGCCTTGCATGTGCCAGCATGTGCCTGTGGGTGTATCCATGCCTGCTATGACTCATTGAGTCCCTCGGGCCCCTCTACCTGTCCAGACCTGAGCCGTCCCCTGAGTCCTGGGCTCTTTGCTGTCCAGCTTAGGTTTTTCTGCCTTTGCTGTTGTTTTGGGCTGAGCAAGCTGAAACATCACAGTTCACAGACTCCTACAGGCCTTACTTGATCTGTATCACGCCTCAGCACGTGCCTCTCTGGGATGGTGCTGTCATGGTGCCTCTCTGGGCTTTACTTTGTGCGTGAGAGGACTGAAAGAGAGCCCTGGAGCCAGAGACTTATCCAGACAGGCACCTGGCGGGATGTGGCACCCCAGAGGGCCCCTACAGGACCCCAGCTGGTCTTAGCAGCCTGTGGTATTTATTTAGAGTAAAGGGGGCATAAAGACAAGGTGGTGGGAGCCAGAGAAAGACCTCAACAGATTTGGGCTTCCCTCCTGCCTCCGCCTCTGCTAGCTGAAGGCTGTTAGACTCCAGGTCCTCTCCTGGCCTTACGTCTCATCCAGGCTGTGAGGAAGGGTCACAGGCTCGTGGTGAATGTAAAACTTGTACTCTGAGCCTGGTGATCCAGTGTTTCTAGTGGCCTTTACAGCAAGATGGGGGTGGCCAACTGGCTCTGTCCAGTGGAGGGCGTTTGTTGTCAGCCAGGCTGGGCTAGCTAGCTAGCTTTAATAACAGGAAGTGGGAGGCTTCCTCCCCCCATCTACTAGGACCGAAAACTAGGTGCCTGGCTGGGAGGGAGGAAGGAAGCTAAGGCCCAGAGGAGGGATCATGACTGGTGTTGCCTAGAGCTGCCCCCCTGCCTGGGGACACTACCAAGCATGCTGTCTCACGAGTTAGCTTCTCCACCAAGGAAAGGGAACAGAGTGGGGACCCCAGATTCCCCAGGGCTGAACCTGGCTTGTGGTGCTTTTATCCTTCTTGAAGATCCCTCCACATCTGGTAAGGGAATGGGGGAGGGAATCAGATACAGACAGGGGCTGAGGGGAACCTTTTTCCCTATTTTACAAGTGAAGGAATTGAAGCCCTTGCATTCTATAGGACTCAGTGAAACAGGGTCAGGCCAGGCCCTGAAATGGCTCAAAATAAAGCTGGCAGAAAAAGTTTCGCTCTAGATCTTTTTGGAGGGGGTTTGGGACAAGGTGGTCCACGTACCCTGGTGTTGTCACTGAAATCTTTTCTACCTCCTCCTTCTCTTATCCCAAGGTCAGACCCCAAGGCTTCACATGGAGCCTCAGCATCTCTCTCCTCCCCTGCTAGTCCTGCCTCCCATGTCACAGTTGGGGGGCCCCTGGATTATACACCTCCTGTGTGCTTAATCCTAGATCCCCAGCAATGAATAGAGATGGGGAGCGAGACTCTGTCATCTAGAGACAGTGAAAAATAGTCTAAAAGCCTGTGTGTCATCTTGTAGGAGATCGTCGACTTAGGGCTGACTTTGTGTCTGGCTTTCGGTAGATTTGGACTCAAGGAAGGGCAACCACAAAGATCCTAGACTGCTTGTTAATCTGTGTTCCTGTGTGGCTGTGGCACAGAAAGAGGCAGCTGCTGTAGGATTCAGGGGAAGAGAAATCATAGGGCTGAGTTGCTCCGATAAACAGTCAGTTTTATTGGCCAGACCCCACTGGCTATGGTGAGAGATGTCACTGGCACGTGGTCCATCGAGCCGGGAGTGTGGCTTCCAGTGAAGCAGACCCTACCTGAGAGACCTCAGACATGCCTACAACCCAAGTCCTCAGGTCTTCAGGAACTGGAGCTAAGACCTTGGGGACTAGCTGGACAGGGCACAGAGCAGAGAACAGAGCTAGCCAGGCTCCCCACTTCCTTCCGTGGAAGTCTCTTGCAGTCCTGTTTCCCAGGAGGCTCTGGGAAGGCCCTTGGGAGTCATACCAGGAAATCAAACAGCCCCCACCATGGTCACAGCCTGGCAGCAGTGGGTACCAAATTAAGAGAAAGCTCTATGTAGCCTTGGGCTTCTTGCTCTGTCTGCACCTGTTTCTATTTTGATGAAATAGCTTACTGACCGTGGTGTAGGTGACGCTCCAGGGTGTGGATGACACCCTCAGCACCAGCTGTGACATGCTCAGGAGAGCAGTAATCACATCAGCTTGTGACAACAATGCATGTCTGCTGACCCTTGGTTTGGCTTAGGTTCTCTTGAGAGCACGGTAAAGACGTAGGCTCAGGTGAGGTGCAGAAGAGGACACAAGGACACAGGTATGTGAAGGGACTTGGAGCAGAAGCATGCTGTGACCCTCTCCATAGTACCATGTAATTGCCATGCCTGCGCCAGCCAGGTCCTTCGAGGGTCAGATGGCCACAGCTGGCCACCAGGCTGTGCATGGAGCCCAGCCTGACTGATGTGGCCCTCCTGCCACCTGTTTACGAAGGATCCATGGTGATGGCATCTCCCTGACGCCTGCCTGTATGTTTTAGATGAGGCCCGCTCCAAGAAGTGTGGTGTCCTGGTGCACTGCCTGGCAGGCATCAGCCGCTCAGTGACAGTCACTGTGGCCTACCTGATGCAGAAGATGAACCTGTCGCTCAATGACGCTTATGACTTCGTCAAGAGGAAAAAGTCCAACATCTCGCCAAACTTCAACTTCATGGGGCAGCTGCTGGACTTTGAGCGGACGCTGGGGCTAAGCAGCCCATGTGACAACCACGCGCCCACTGAACAGCTCTACTTCTCCACTCCCACCAACCGCAACCTGTTCCCACTCAACACACTCGAGTCCACGTGAGGCCAGGGCCTCAGGGTCTTGGGAGGCCCAGCCTGCTGCCGTTGGCCTGAGGAACCCACACATGTCGCCTGCGCCTGGAGGCCAGGCCGGGCTGTACCCAGCTCCCTTGCTGTCTTGTGGGGCAGGACTCACCAGCAGGACCCCCTTGCTGCAGAGGCCTGGGATCTCAGCTTCGTGGCTCAGTGGGCCTCATCTTGTTTCCCAGGACACCCCGTTATGCTGATGGCCCAGCCCATCTGGCTATTTTTAAAGACATATCCATGGACCTAAGTTTACTTTTTACTTTTGGCAGGTAAATCCAAGCTCCCTGGAGTTCAGAGTATATTCAAACTCTTCTTGATTTTTCTTTCTTTCTTTCTTTTTTTTAACGAAAAGTGTTATTTTCAGGCTACATGCAACAGTGGATTGTATAAACCAATGTTTCATGCCTTTCTTGATCCCGAGGAGGAGAGAAAGAGAGAGAGCGAGAGAGGGACATGTTCTCCTTTTGTTTTTCTTCCTATTTCAAAAAGCAGTTATTGGTGTGTTTTGCTTTTGTTCTCAATTGAAAAGACAAACCCCGTGTTGATCTTGACCAAATGCATTTTGCACACGTGTGAAGCCTCTGTTTCTCCACGAGGCCCTCTGGCAGGGGCTGCTGCTGTGCTCCAGGAGTCAGGGCCCTGTTGTGCCATCCCCCGTGGTGGGCCAGTCCTGCATGGCACCGCCTCCCCTGTACTGACTGTTGTAAGTGTGCTTAATGGGCTGGGCCAGTCCCCTCAATGGTCCTGCAGCCCTCCCTGAGACAGAAGATGGGGGGCCTGCCTCTGCTCTGCTGGGGGGACTGCCAAGCAGTAGCATTGACCTTCTGGGCCCAGCCTTCAGAGGCTGAACCCTGGGTCCTTTTCTAAATTTACCATGACTTCTATGTTTGCTCCCTCTCTCTAGCTGGGAGTGAAAGCCAGTGTCTGAGAAAAGTGTAGGTGGTAGGGCCCAGCCCTGCATCCCTGATTCTTTTCCTTATCCTGGCTGATGCTTTGGTCCAGCCACAGCTTCCGGTCAGTGCCCTGTCCCGTGGAAACCTGCCCCACTCACGTCTTGCCCATGCCTTCAAACACCAGGAAACTTCATCCATTCTAACCCTGGGGCAGGGGCAGATGGGGCAGTGATGGCCACGTGGAAGAGGTATGAGGCTCTGTCCACCCCAGCATCCATAGAACAAAGCCACGGATTCCGTTAGCCGCCTCCAGTTTCGTTACTTCTCCAGCCTCAGTTCTACCCAGGGGTCGGGCGCACAGGACCCAGGAAGGGGTTAGCCATGGAGCTGTGTCCCTGACTGAGCCAGCACTCAGCGTGCGAGCAAGGCCACGGAAACTCTGCCCCCGCTGCATCTTACCTCACAGGGTGGTTTTCAGGGATTTTTGGGGGCAGCGGATTAAAATCTTGCCACAGTTGAGAGATTGACACAAAGCTTCCATGCTGTACGTGGTTCTCTTTCTCTCTATTTTTTAAAAAAAAACCCAGAAAGATATGTCTGATTTGTGTACATGATATGCCAGAGGGTGGCCAGTTTTCTTTGAGTTTATGAAGGAAAATTTGTGACCCTACATATATGTATATATATACATACATATATATGTATATATATATATACATACATATGTATATATATATATATCCCGAACCAGCAACAGGACTTTGTTTATATTGCAAATAAATATTATTTTTTCTTTAAAATGAGTTATGGTGTTTGGTAAGGGTGGGGTACCTGGAACATTGATGTGGGATGCTGCTTCTGTGAGGCATTGGCCTGGACCTCCGTAGGGTCTGGTAGGCTCTTGTATAGCTCAACCAGAGGTGCCTCCAAGGTGGGAGGACCAGGGCTGCTAGATGAAGGCTCTGCTTCAATCTGTAGAGTGGGCCCAGCTCTCAGGGACAGTGGGTGCTGCTCACATGAGCCTCATGAGCTCATTGTGTTCCTGTCCCGGTTAGGGCCTGAGTTTGCAAAGAGGCATCAGCCACACTCAGGCCTCCATCATCAAGGCTTCCACAGGCATGGTCTGGGTAGAGAGAGACCCAGGCTGCAGCTGAGAGCAGGGAAAGCCCCAGAGGAGGATGGTGGCCGTGGCTCAGGGTATGGATCCTCCAGGGGTGACAGCCCTGTTTACAGTGGAGCAAAGATGTAGCTCCAAGCTGTTTAGGTCTCCTTTACCTCTGGCCGTATCAAGTAAGCCCCAAGCAGGGATTTAGGAAGCCTGGGTGCTGACTCAGTTTCCCCATTTCAGCTTCTGGCACTATTCTGTCCCTTTAGCAGGCTGTGTGATTAGCACTGGGTGGCACCAGGCAGAGGGTAGTCAGCAGGATGACAGCCCTTCTGGTCTTCCCCATTGGGTTACTCCAGCTCTGCCTTCCCTGGCCCATCACTGTTCGCAAGTCATGTAGGGCCAGAACACGGTCGCCACATCATGGCTTGGCCTGTGACAGATAGAGCCCAGGTTCTGCCAACCCTGGCACCTGGGTTCCTCGTGCAGCTGTGTGAATGCAGGCCCTTGTGTCTTCCACTTCATCCTCTGGGCTTCTGGCTGGAGCAGGTTCGCATAGAGGGTGAGGGAAAGTAGGTTCTCACGGTGTCAGCAAAGGGTAGGTGTTGCTCTTGCCCTCGGGCTCCCTCAGGGCCCTGGTCCTTCTGTGCCAGGGGCAGGCAAGGGGGTGGGGGCTTGAGCAGGCAAAGACTGCGCCTTTGTTCCTCCTGCTGCCCTCACCCAGGGCTGGGGAAGCCCGCGTGTGCTGGGCTGGGGGCTGGGCCCTTGACAGGCCAAGTAAGTGCCTGGCAGTGCCAGCGTGCCCAAGGAGAGGACCAGTGGGTAGGGCAGCAGTCACCTCCTGAGCTGACTCCTGAAACAGGCCTGGGGGCCAAGGATTGCAGGAAAGAACCAACTCCACCAGTTTTCCTGCATGCAGTCCTCGCCAGATGGTCTCTCTGACCCTCAGGGCCTTCTCCAGAAATTCCCACTTCAGCTCTGTGCCTGGCGAGGGCTCCTGCCGGGAGACAGGGGCCCAGGTTGTGACTAAGTATCGGGGCCTCGGGTCCTCGCTCTGTGACCTCAGGGTAGGCCATGTGGCCCTGGGCCACTTCCCATAGCCCAGCTCCCAGGCTGGAACACCTGTAATTCTTTCCAGCCAACCTTGTCAGGGCCCTTGCCAGCATCCTCTGAGCTCTGAGCACCTGGCTCTCTGGGGCTGTTTGTCTCTCTCCCTAAGCTGTGCTCCTCCTTGGGACCAGCTTACCCCCAGGGCCTGTGTTTCTGTTTCCATCTCAGCCTTGGCCCCAGGCACCCAGCCGCTTCTTAGCTGCTTCTCAGCCTTCTCCTGAGTCACCTGTCCATCCATCCATCAGCCACCTCCTGTGCTGCTGGGCAGTCCTAGGAGTGGGAATGTGCCCCAGGGAAAGCTTGGTGATGTCAGACTGGGTGGCAGGATAATGGAACCCTCAACTTGTCCTCTGATAAATAAATCGGGTACACCAGCAAGAGTGAGTAAGGCTGGACACCCAGAGGAACTTGTAGCACTGTCGAGTGGTCACTTAAAGAGGTCTGAACAGGAGACAGCAAAGAATGAGCAGGTTGTATGGTGGTCCTGCTTTGAGCCTCAAGAGAGGAGCCTGTCCTGCTGCTGCCCCCATGGAGCCTGCCTATCGTGAGGGTCTAGGCAGGGTGGAGCAGGCAGCAATCCCATGCTGGGTTGCCCCCCTCCCTGTGCTGCTCTAAGCACCAGGTCACCTCTGCAGCAGGATGTGTCTGGAGCGCCAAACCATTAGCAGAGGCCCCAGTCCTGCGTGGGAGGCGGGCTCCTCTGGAGGGAGCCCAGGGACACCCAGGTTCTAATCTTCAACAGTGTTCCCTGCTTGTTCCGGTCTCCACAGGACATAGACACCTTGTCTCCTCCCAGAGGCCCCCTAGGATTGGTGCATGTGACACAGGACCCTGAGATGGCTCAAAATTGTCTTGTCCTGGAGTGGTATAGAGTGAGGAGAACCCAGTCCCCTTCCTGCCTGCTCCCCACCCCCAGTCTTTTCACCAGCCCCGCCTCTTCCATCAGGTTTAAGCCCTCTGGCCCTGTGAGGGACACATTCACACATGTGTACACACAGCTTCTCATTCGTCAGACTGAGCAAGTCCAAGCAGGTCCCGTGGCAGCTGAGGTGCTGCTTGCCTTGACTTTAGCTCCTTTCTCTGGGTGTGTCCTGGTGAAGTCATCCCTGCCTGGGTGTAGCCCTTAAAGACCACACAAAATTAGCAACTCTGGGAGGCCCCAGCCCAGGGTCTCCAACCAAGCCAGAGGAGCCGTACAGGTGACATAGTACACCGGCCCCAGCAGGAGTCCCTGGGGCTGCCCTGTTAGAGAGCTCCACAGTGCAGTCTGCCTGTGACATTCTCTGTGACCACTTCCTCTCACCTCAGAGCTGCAGGCAGAAGAGAAAGAAGTGCCTTTCCATACAGGCAGGGGCTGGGGAAGAGCCTCCTTAAGGAGTAGGGGCCTCTGAAGTCTTCAAGCCCAAGGGCTGGGGGTGACTGTCACTGCCAGAAGCCTGAGCTGCTGAGTGGAGAGTAGCTTAGAGGACAAATGTGCCCTGTCCCTCACTTGCATGCCCATGTCATTGCACAGTGAGGAGGTGGGCACAGTTGTTCTGGGTGGCTCAGGAGGCCCAGACCATGTGACCTAGGAGGAGATGGTAAGAAAAAGACCCAGCTGCAGAACCTGGGTGCAGCCAAGAGTCCCAGCGTATCTGCCTGTGTCCAAGTCTGAAAGCAATAGCCATGCCATGCAGAAGGATGTGCCTGCTGGGTGTGTTGGTGCACACCTGTCATCCCAGCACTCAAGACAGGAGAATCGTTGGGAGTTTAAGCTGGCCTGGGCTGCACAGTGAGTTCAAGGCCAGTCAGAACTACAAAGTGAGACCCTCAAAAATAAATAGATAGATAGATAGATAGATAGATAGATAGATAGATAGATGGATAGATAAAATAACAAAGATGAGTCTTAGCCAGGGGATGTACTAGTGCTGATCCCAACTCCCTTCCCTCAGGGGAACCTGTTCCATCCCTCACTTGCACCCCCATGCCAAGCATCCAGAGAGAGGCAGTGTCACCAGCATCCTCCTGCACATCTGAGAGTCCCAGGACTGTGTGCCCCATGGCCCCTCTCAGAGCCTGGGAATGTGAGCTACAGGATATTCACCAAGCTGTGACCTACCCATCCTCGGGGAGGGCCACTTCTACCAGGTGCCTCTTCCCTCCTCCCCTCTGCAGTCCTTGAGCAGGCCAGAGTTGAGAACGTGGTCTCAACCCAGCCGGGGGAGGGTGCCCCTGCTCACAGCCCCACCATCAGCCCCTCTGTGCTTTAGTTTTGGGATTGTTTGAGCCTCTTTACTGCACTGTCTGTAGACCCCCTCTGCCCTCTTCCCACACCTGCCCATCCTCAGCCTGGCTCCTCTGTGGACACCCAGCCCTCCACAACCTGCACCCAGCTCCCCAGCCAAGGGGCCAGGGTCTCTGGACAGTGCTTATAAAGACTATAGGAGCCATGCCCAGCTTCAGCTGTCCCCAGCTCCCTCCACAGTCCCAGGAAGAGGAGGCTGGGTACCGTGCCCTTCCCTAATGGCTTGGCCCTCTGGTGATCTCACTTCTCCTTGTCCCTTTGGCACTGCTGGCAGGGAGTGTAGGGGTGGTATCTCCTGCATCTCAGACTTTTTCCTTGAACCTCATGCCCAGAAGTGTCATTTCTGTGGCAAACATCTGGGCTCCATTTTCCTGACTTGGCTTCCGGTAGGAAGCAGGACTGTTGATCTTTCACAGCGGATTATTACTGTTACTGATTTAGAGAAGACAAGTGTTGACTATGCCAGGCACGTGTAATGGGCTCAGCCAAGGGCTGGGGCCATCTGTCATCAACTGGAGCCCCTTTCTGTGCTGGCTACCCTCCTGACTGGCCTGCCTGGGAGGTGTGCTCACATGCCTGGTCCTCTGCAGCTCTAAGAACAGTGACAGTATCAACAATGTTAGCCACAGCATGGGCCCTGCACTGGGCCAGGATGTCCTGCAGGCTTTACATGATAAACTCATTTAATCCCCCCAGGTGCCCTGTCAGGGTGGTCACAGAGGAATCTGGGACACAGCAGCAAAGACAAATGTCAGTTTGCCTTACAGGCGCTGCACCGCTGAGCTATGCTCCCAGCACCTAAAGACAGATGTCAGGAAGGGGCCACACTGAGGTCCAGACACAGGTCTGGCTAATTTGGAAGTCCCTGCTCTCAGCTACCCCATGCCCAAGATGCTAGGGGGCCTTGGGCCCTTTCTCGTCTTCCTAACAACTGTACCAACTCGGGAGAGCAGTACCTGGTGGCAAGGGACCTGGAGGCACATCTCTGAAGGCAACACACACCTGTGTTATCTGGACAGGAAATGGGAAGCCAAGGAGGAGAGCCAGCAACAGCAGGTGGGGGTGAGGCTTGAGAGGAAGGGTGGTGTCAGGGATGTCCTGAGGCTGCAGGCCAGAGGACCGAGAGGCGGCAAGGTTCGGGCAAGGCAGTCTGGAGGCTTCTCAGAAAGGATGACAAATTCTAGTGATGAACCACCACCAGCAACTCCTGCCTCCGGGCTCTGAGTGCTACTTCCTCCTCCGGAACACATGTTACCCCCACTCCCGTCCAGTGGCTACCCCTGGCTCCTCTTTCCCTGAGCCTAGTTCTGTGGCCTCCTCCCCCAGGAAGCCGTCTCTAACCTTGTTCCCCAGGACAGATCTTGTGCCCTCCCCTAGTGTAGCCCACCCCTGGAGACCTGCTAGCCTGGCGCTAGATCCAGCAGCCCCTCTAGCTGAGTATCTGGGCACCTCTGGAAACATGCCCAGCTTGGGGCATTAGCCTGTGGAACCTGTGTACCTGAGGTATGGCAGAGCGCCTACTTCAGTGTTTCCTCATCTGTCTGAGCTTCTCCTGCTGGCCCGGGCCTTTGGTGGTGCCAAGGAAGTGGGACCAGGCACCTCTGCGCCTCTGACTCACCAGCTCACTCTGCCCACCCTGGTGCCTGCTCACCCTCTTGGCAGGTTCCAGCCAGAGAAGGCTCTGGCCACTCCTGTTCAGAAAGATCTGCTACTGCCACGGTTAAGTGGAGGGGTCTGGAGGCCACACTAATTGATTAATTAAACCCTTTCAGTTAATTAGCTTTGTCTCTCCAGGGAAAAAAAATGCTAGCGTGGAGCCAGAGCTTCCTCTGGGCTGGAGGAGGGTTTCACGAGCCTTGGTCAAACTGACCCTGATGCCAGCAGCTGCTGGGGGCACTGGAGAGCCCAGGCAAAGTGTTCTGGGCCCTGGAGCCAGCCAGGACACCTGGGATGGGGAGAAGGGGCCTCCAGCTTGGGCTTCAACCCACTGCTCCTGAGCACAATGGCCCCAAGCCCCAAGGCCAGAGGCAGTTTGACCTAGCTGAAGGCAGGCAGGAACACAGGGGCAAAGGGTGGAGGCAGAATCTGAGAAGACAGAGACGTTTGCAGGGGTGTGTGTTCCTGCCCAAAGCTGTGGGAGGCAGGCGTGGGTGATCCCACCCCAGCTGCTGTGTGCAGGGAGGACCTGAAGGCTAGCCGAACAGCTGGAATTTTCTCTGGGCATAGTGGGCTGGAGTCAGTTTGAAGCTGGGCATAACCTGATTGGGTTTGGATTTTGGAAAGATCTCAGGGAGCAGTTACTCAGGGGAAGTGACTGGAGGGAAAAAGAGGGGTGGGAATGGGGAGGAGAGAGCTCCAGGTGTCCGGAGAGGAGGACATCCGTCAAGGAGGGGAGTCTAGCCTGGCATCCGTAGATTAGCCCCTGCTGTGTGGCCTAGGGCCACCCGATTTCCTCCTCTAAGATCTTTTGCCTCATCTGCCAGGTGGGGGTTAGGAGAGGACATTCCTGAGGCCACCACCTCGGGATGTGAATGTCACTTGCATGTTTCCTTGCTCTAGGACAAGCCCCTGCTTTAGTCTCCAAGCTCTCCATGGCACTTGCAGGGGTCCTGCCTAACGGGGTTCACTAGGTATGAAGAAGGCAGACCAGCCCAGTATTGGGCAAATGCCTCACTCAGGAGCTACAATATCATGCTCCAGACTGGAGAAGCTCGGGGCGTCCAGGTGGAAGAAGGACATCTGTGCCCAGGCTAGCACTAGGGGAGGTGAGCCAGGCCGAGAGTGGAAGGCAGAGAGCCCAGGACACTCCGAGCAGCCACGGGCAGCAGGCAGGGCTGCAGTCTTGGCATGAAGCCTACCCTGGGCTGGTCCTCCAGCTCCCTGAGTGGCTGCCCAAGTGGGAACAATGACCCTTTCACGTCACGCCTCCTCAGTCACAGCAACTTTGGCGCCGCAGGACAAAGGGGCCGTTTCATCATTGTTGGATTGGATCAACAGCCCGCCCGCCTGAGCCCTGCTGCCCCCACACAGCCCGGGCCTGGAAGAGAGGCCGGCGGCCCCACCTGGCCAGACCCAGGACCTTCTCTTCTCCTGGTCCAGCTGATTGTCCCAGAGACCCCCTCACTTTCCTTGCCATCCCCTCCTGGCTCACCTGGCAGCTCTAATGATGCTAGGCTCTGCTCCTGACCGTGGTCTCCACAGGTAGGAAGGGCTGAGATAAATGGGCTGTGAGGCTTCACCCACATGTGCCACCCTGAGGACACAAACCTTCCACCTATGCTCTCTGTCCCCAGCCAGCCCTGGACTCCAGGAAGAAGCCTCAGTCCCACTAGGTAGGAAGAGCAGAAGACGCCTGGGTTTCTGCTCCTACTAACCTTGCTTAATGCGCACTCATACAAGGCCAGCTCTGCTCATACCTGGGCTACCGTCAGCCCTCTGTGGGCACCTGGCTGTGCAGCAGCCCAGAGAACCAGGATTTTATCTGCCCTGCCTAGCCCTGCCTCTGTCTCCTCCGATTAGGAGACAGGGAACTGGGACTGTAATCTTCATGCTTCTTTCCTCCTTAATTTGGCCAGGGCTTGTTAAGGGCTTGAAGAGGGGCAGGCAGCTTCTTGTTACTCTAAGTGAACAGGTCACAGTCTGGGCACCAACACAGAAGCTATGCCTACAATCCTCTGTGGCCAGGCTGGGGTAGATAAAAGCCCAAGAATCCAGGCATCAGGGGCCCAAGCCATATCATCAGAGGCAGGAGATGGGTGATGTCCTCCTGCTCTAGCTCTGCAAACAGCAATGGTGGTGGTGCCTCAAGGCAGATGGGTCTGGGGCTTACTCTGGGCGCACCTGCATGGCATAAACCAATCAAGCAGACTTCTCTAGAGAGAGCCCTGCATGGGGAGAGCCCTGCAGCTCAGGGTCCTGACTGACCTTGGGAGGCTTTCTCAACCCAGGGGCCCAAGAGACATTAACTGAGAGAGTGGGCTCCTGATGTAAGGGAGAGAGGTACTAGGGGCCACAGGGGGTCTAAGGTCTCTCCCACTTTGCAGACAAGAACCCAAGCTCAGAGGTAAAGTGGCCATGTAAACCATGTAGTGGGTGAGGGGCAGAGCAGAGAGAGCAACCAGGTTAGGAAGGAGCTGGTCACCATTGCTACCTGGCAACAGGCTGGCCTCCTGGGTCCTAGGCAGCAGGCTGGGTGTGGAGGGCAGGCACGTGTGGGTGTGGGAAACCTGCAGGGCAGGGCCTGCTCTGTAGTCCCTACTCCTGCCCGTCACTGCACTGTGGACACCTGGCGGCACTACACACGTGGTTGCCCATTTGCCCTGCTTAACTTCCTCTGACTAAGATGAAAGAATCATCCCTTTGGGGGAGTGGAGCCTGGCACCCGTCAGCAGGAAATGCCCAGCCCAGCCCTTCCAGAGCCTGCCTGCCCTGGCACCCCTCATCTGGGCTACTGGCCAGGACTCCTACGAGCACATGTGTGGGGGTGCACTGCCCTGGTTGCAGGATGTTGGGGTTATCCTGGGGGTGGAAGCAGGTGCCCTCCCACCCAAGTCTGGCCAAGGGCCCCTCTGACTCAGCTGCTAATCTTTCTTTCTCAGCTACTAATTGTGGGAGTCCTTAGGCTCTCTATGCCCAATCAAGGCCAGGATTTTGGGAGGCATGAAGTGCTCGGTGCTCAGCAGAAGAGCAAGGCCTAGGCTCTGAGCACAGTTTCAGTCACCTTTACTCTTAAGATCACCCTTGATGGTGTCTGTTCAGGAATCACAGAGGTCAGGTCTGCTTCAAGACAGCTGGGGAGTAGAGCAAGCCCGGACTAACGCACTGGGGCTGCCCCTCCTGGCCCTGCCCTACACAGAGGGGCTGCTGAGGCCTGAGGGATAGGTGTATGGCTCAGAGATCCTCAGCAGGCTGCGAGGCAGAGGCTCTAGGTTTTGGCTCTAGCTTGATCCCTCATGGGTCATGGGCCTGCAATGAGGTCCCTGCCCTTTTTGGGCCTCAATCTCCCCTGAAACTGCACACCGACTGGACCCAGGTTCAGACTCTAGGACAAACCCATCAGCAGCTGTGGATCAGCAGGCTCCAGTCAACCCTGCTGAGAGTTCTCAGGAGGGAATTCCCCTCGGTTTTCAGATTTTGTCTCTTATGAATGGTCACTCTGCAGAGGACACAAATATGCTCAGATAGCAAGGCCTGGCAGTTTCACAGCTGGGCCAGGTGATAGTGTCCCGGAAGTGAGGAGATGTGGCATCACAAGGCCACCTCAAAGGCCCCAAATCAGCACACACTTGCTTGGAGTTTCCACTGAGTTACCTGAAAACATCTTTGCCAAACAATAAAGCTCTGGGGATGCCGAAAGTGCAGCCCAATGTAGGGGACAGGCTGGAGCAGGCAGAAAGGCATAGCAGCCCAGCCCCTGAAATTCCCGATTACCCACCAGTCTCTGTGCATGCCACCACTGCTGCCTGGGCCTGTGAGTGGCTCTGACCTGTGGGAGCAGGGCCAGCTCTGCCCTCTCTAGGCTTGGCTGCCAGCCTTACTCAGTAAGTCCATGTCCTCCCCAAAGGCTGTAGGCAGCTCAGAGATGGATGGTGAACAAACGCTCCGGAAAGAGCCAGGCTGAGTGGCATCCTGAGAGGCAGCGTCTCAGTAGGGAGAACCGTGTGGCCAAGCTGAGGGTCTGGTGCTGCTGTCAGACTGGACTGGTTTGCAGCCCCACCTTCAAAAATGACCCACCCGTGGCAGCTACTCCATTTCTCTGGGCCTCCATGAGAATGATAGAGACACTTGTCCCGTCAGGTATGGGTGCGCTTGGGGGCCCAGGGGCATGTGGTGCTGGGAGTGGCTGTCCTTGTTAGATTCCAAGGTGTCTTACTGCTGTCCCAGTAGCCACTCTGCAGTGGGCCCCAGCTGGAGGACAGAAGGGATGAAAGTGCTACCTTCCAGGTGTGGATGACCTGAAAGGGGTGGGAGGAGCAGTTTGCTGGGCTGTTGTGCCCAGGGCCAGGGCCTCAGGGGACAGAGATGAGAAAGAGGGGGTCTTAGCTGGAGGGAGGTGGCCTTGGGCCTCAAGCACATTAGTAAGCCTGGCCAGTGACTAGTCAGCTCACAGGGATTCTCCCCCTGACATCTGGGGCCAGCAGTGACCACTGCTCCGGTGTAATGTCTTCATACCATCTCCCTAAGCTCCTCCATGAAGTTCCCCTTTTGCTGCCAGTGTGAACACTACGGCCCAGAGTTCAGCAATTGGGATGTGATGCAACAGACCTCAAAGATCCAGCCCTTGCCTGGGCAGAAGGGATAGCAAAGGGGTGCCTTGTCCTGGGGTCTAGCCCTGCTCCCGGGAGGCTTAGAGACCTGGTTACCCCAGAGCTCACCTATTCTGAGTCTCTCTGTGTTCCAGCTGGTGGGCTGCTCTTCAGGCTGGCATGGGCTCTTCCAAGGACAGACTGAGGTAAATGTCCTGGTTGTGCCCTCTACCTTGCCCACGGTGCCACAAGGGCCTGTCTGTCTGCAAGACCCCCTCTGAGACTCTATGAGGCAGGGCCACCTACTCCCAAGACACCACAGAGGGAGCAGGAGGTGCTAGAGCCAGCCAGGGGCCGGGAAGGCCATGGGCCTTGGTGTCAGTGCCAGTGCAGGGCCCAGGTGTCCCTGTCCCAAGTCCCAGCTGTGGCTGAGCTTCCAGGACAGAGTGGGATGACCTTTCCCAGATGCCACATAACCCAGTCAGGGCACGGGAAGTGGAGACGCTTTCCAGAGGTCATTTGGTAACGTGAATCAAAGGCCTAAGAATATGCATAACATTTAACCCAGCAGCTCTAGTCTTGGAATCAGCCCTGAGAAAATCTTTCACCTGAAGGGAGAAGGTCTGTGATCCTTGGCTCACATCAGCCCCGGTGCCTGGTGTCTACCTTCTCCCAAGCTTGTGTTTTCACAGGACCAAGCCCATCATGCTCCCACTGTATGCGACCACTGCTCGGGGCCATGTCCCATACCTATGCCCTTCCTATCCACTCTCCATCACCCTGGGATTGAGGCCTCCTCTCTCCCCAAACTCAGGTCTCCCAGGCCCCTCTTCCAGGGAGTCTGCTCAGATTTCCTCCTGTCTTTGAAAGCCACTGCCATCCCTGGGGTCCCCTCTTGGAACAGTAGGCTCTTTCTCCTTGCAGGGCTTAACCAGGTCCTGCTCCATTCTAAGAGTCTCTGGGAAGGTGTTAGGTTTTGATTCCCTGGGGAAGAGGTTAGGAGATGCCTTGGAACTCCACAGGGACCTGTCCATCAGCATCTCCCTTATTCCCCTTCTCTTTGGCCATTCCTAGCTCCTGCATAGCTATGGCTCAGGGTGACCGGACACTGATGAGGCTGCCCTCCTTCCCTCCCTATTAGGTCCTAAGGAGGTGAAAGCCCTGCACAGGCCTCAGGCTGTCATTTCTCCCTCCTCCTGCCTCCAGGCTGCTTATGAATTCTGTTTTTCTAGCAGGAGATAAGTGGAACTTCTGACCTGTGCGTTCCTTGTCAGTCCAAGGGACAGAGCCAGGCTGGTTGGTAAGGAGGACAGCAGAGGGACAAGAGACTTGATCTGTCCAGTGTCATGTGTCCCTGTCAGAAATCCAGATGTGATGCCTGCTCCCAGGAGCTCATGGAGGAGGAGGCTGCAGGTTTAGCCCTGCTGTGAGCTGGGCTCTGTTGCAGGCACACAGCACACAAGTCCCATTCTCAAGAGAAGAGATCGCTCACTCCATCTGTGGGGCAGCGAGATGGCCTTGTTTACAGGAGGTTGAGACACCAGGTCAGGAAACTCCACTGTGACCCTGCAGGTGGACAGAGGGAGCCCTGGAGGCCTGGGAGCAGGAAGAGGGGTGTAGGCCTGCGGGTAATCCTAGGGGCTAATTGTCTGTCCTCCTAGGGCTTGGTGGGATCACCCCTCATGGTGCTGCTGCAGGTGCCAGGGCAGGTGCAGGGAGGCGTCTGCTCTGGCCTCTCCTGTTCCTGCAGCCCAGGCCTTGGCTTTGCCTCCACAGACTGCCGCAACCAAAAGATGTGCCTGGAATTCTCAAACTGAGCTGCAGAGTGGTGCGCCAGGAGCCTGCCTGCTGCAGGCAAGGCTGCTCACCTTGGAGAGGACACACACTGCTGCGGCAGGGGCCCCTAGCTGGAGAAAGTGGGGGGTAAATTTAAATTGGCCCCCACTTCCTCTCACCTTGTCTCACCTTTAGACCAAAGCGAATGATTCTGGGGCAGCTAGGGTGTCTGCAGAGTTTCCAGTGCCTGGTGACAGCCACCCGCCCACCCAGCCTCAGGGCTGAATGCACAGACAGGCAGCCTGACTGAGCGCCTCCCCTGGCATCCTGATTTAAGACAATCCTGTGCACACAGGCCTCAGATGTCCTCTGCAGGGGCCACACAGGTCACTGCAGGGGACACCAGCCTACAGGTATCAGGTGACCAGGCAGGAGTTTAGTTCTACTACCTATAGCTGTGTGACCTTGGACACATCACTGATCCCAGTCAGCCCGATTCCTCACTGGAAGTGGGAGAATGGGGAGCGTCTGAGCAGAACCTTGGTGCGGACTTGATTGGTGTGGCCTTGCTCTGCTCGGGCCTGAAGGAAGCCTTTTGCATGCATAGCCTTGGGTCTACTTTCCACAGGTGTGTGGCGTGTTCTGCGTCTCAAATGAAGACACTCACAAGCCCAGACTCATCTTGTCAGGATGGGGTGACAGGGTGAGGAAGTGCTGCTTGAGGGGCAAGAATGGAGGAAGGCCTGTCCTGGGTACTGGCACAGGAAGGTGACAGGGGTAAGTGAGGTTGGCCCCGGACAACCTTCCAAATCCTTGGAGAGGAAGGTGGCAGCTGGGTACCAGGTCTGTTCTCAGCAGATACTGCTCTGAGCTCCAAGCCCTATTCCCCACTGCTCAGCAGTGCAGATTAGTCTGGCCAGGAGTCAAACAGGTATGACTGTACCTCAGGAGGTGGCAGATGGACCCTAGGACACCAGGGGTGGTGTCTTCTTCAAACCCAGGCTGTCCTAGGACCCTGCTGCAGCCCCCAGGCACAGCCCAGCAGGAGGGCCTTCAGCCTGCTTAGAGGGCTGGCCAGGCTCCCAGGAAGTCAGGAGCATGAATGGATGCCTCGCCCTGCCCCCCAGCAAATGAGGAAAAGCCAGCACTGCTCCACCTCCTGGCTGGCCTCTGTGATTAACCCCTGTGTCTTCTTCCTTAGAGCAAGCCTCCCCTCTGGCCTGGAGACTCCAAGCCCGGTTCCAACCTTGACTGCTCCTCCCAAAACCTGCAGGCGAGTATCCAGGAAAAGCCTCAGAGAAAGCCCACAGCAGTCTCCTCGTGGTGTGGATTCCTTCCTCATCCTCTAGTCAGCGTCGGTGCGGGCACCAGAAACCTGAGGGGCCCCCTAGACTCCAGCTGCTGAAATTCTAGCCTAGACCTCATCAAGGCCAGGGAGACAGGGAGAAGATAGACAGGGTCTGGAAAGAGGGAGGTGGCGGGGAGACCAGCCTTGGCAGAGCCGAGGGTGGACCCACCTGGGGCTGCACCTCAGGCTTTCAGAGTTGCCCTGGACAAGCCAGCAGAGAGCCTCTGGGGAGTGACTCATGTCTCCTTCTCAGAGTGCTCTGTGGCAGGCTGGAATTCTCTCAAACTAAGATGTGCAGACCTGAGTTGACCCTGGCGTGCTGGTACCATGAAGGTGGTGAAGTGGGGCCTCCTCTGGTCCCCACAGGGTCCAGTAGTCCCTGTTCTGGGCCTGTCCTGGAGGCCCTCTCCACTTAGACCCAGTCAAACCTGATGCTCTGGGTGAATAGCCTTAGGCAAGCCAGCTTCCACATCTATTGTCTAAGGAAGACAGTGCTGAGCGCTGCAGAGGTGAGAAGGGCCTGGCTGGGCTAAGCAGTGCTTGGGGCTGTCTCCTTGGTCTGGGTGGTACCTGTGGACCTTCCCTGCAGTGTGCCATCGTGTTGCCCCATTTAGCAGATGGAGAAACTGAGCCTGGCACAATGTTGGGTCTGGCCCTGGGCCACAGGAATCCTGTGCCAGAAGCTGTCTAACTTCTCTCACCTTAGTTACCAGGGCCGTAGGCAGGTGCTGGCCAGGGGAGAGATGGAGGTGCATCGGGCCACGACATGCCCTGGAAGGCCACGTCTGTGCCGCAGCAGCCCTGCCCCTGGGTCTCCATCCACCTTTTCATCCCTCTCCGTCCTCTGGTGCCACTGCTCTGGCATCCTCCCACACCGTGACCAGGCACAGGTCTGCTAATGAAGGACGGGGCCCCAAGGCCCGTGGCTCATCTGTCCGTCCTGTCCATGTTCAGCCCAAGCCAGGCTGGAAGTACAACTGAAGTGAGTCTGAAACCACCTGCCCCCAAACAGATGCCATGTGGGACTCTGGGAAGGGAGTGGTCACCATATGTGACCAAGGCAGCAAGTCGGAGGTGACAGGGAGGTAGATGCAAGCAGGGGAAAGGAACACAGAAGGAAGAAGAGGCTACTGCAGCTACAGAGCCAAAGCCCCCAGGCTGCTGCTGCCTGGCCCAGGACTACACCTGGTACCAAGGCCCAGTCACTCTCCTGTGCCCACAGAGTCTCCCCGTAAAGGTCCATGTGTGTGTGCAGGCATATGAGGGTATGCAGAGGGAGGCCCTTGGACTCAGCTATGCGCCCCCAGCATGTGGACAGCTAGTTGTCCCCTGTGATTCCAGTGGCACCACAGGTTTTGTCCCCACAGTGCGTGTGTTACACAGGTGGGACTGATCAGTGGCTGCAGCGCTCTCCCTGCTGGGATAGGCTGGGACCGCTCTTTGTGCCACCTGCCAGGTGCTCCCATTTGGGGTCCTGTGGCAAGCCTCACAGGTCTCCCAGCATCCTCTATGAGGATCCTTTTGGTGCTGAGTCTTTTGCCAGGGGAAGGCTTATGAGTGAGACAAATTCAGAGTGTCTCCATCCCTGTGAGGGTAGGCACTGGGCACGAGAATTCAAGATGTCCTGTGACACTGGGCAAGGGGGTAATCTCTCTGCTTTTGATTTTTGTTTTTTGAGACACTGTAATTCAGGCTGGCCTTGAACTCACTATGCAGCCCAGCCTGGCCTCAAACTCAGAGCCATCTTCCTGCTTCAGCCTCCCAGGTGCTGGATTACAGGCTCGCACCACTACACCTAGCTATCTCTGGATCTTAGCTTCTCAGCTGCACCGTGAAGATTATAAACTGTGCAAACCTCACAGCGTTGTGAGGAGTAATTAGATGGCAGCAGGCTGGGACGCTGAGCTTGCCGGTCTGGGATAGTGCCGGATCAGAAGGGTTTCTTTTGCTTACAGTATTATTGTCATCTGCCTGGTCTGTCCTCTGAGACTCTGGAACTGCCCAGTCCAGGTGCCGGCAGCCAGCAATGCCTCCACCCACCTGTAAAACAATTGGCGAGGGTGGGACTTTTTAAGAAGGGTACCTGGGCCTGGTGTTGGGTTTTCGGGGTAGCCAGGTACGCGTGCCCTGAGGTTTGGAGCCTGGCACCTGCCTTCTGCACCCTTGTGTTCCAAAGAACTCGACCTCATGGGGGCAAGGAGTCCCTGACCAGATTTCAGAAAACATTGGTCCAGGTGTCAGAGTCTCCTGGGGTGCTGGTGTGGGAGAGCTGTCCCCTGTCTAACAGCCCCTGCGCGTTCCTTTCTGCATGATGTTCTGTTGATAGGCCCTAGGATAGCCTCCTTTTGAGATCCAGGACCTGTCCCTTCCCAGTGCGGCTCAGGATAAAGAAGATCCAGAAGCTGGTCATGGGGGCAGGCACCTGTAATCCCAGCAGTCTGGGAGGTTGAGACAGAAGCGTTGAAATTCAAGCTCACTCTGGGCAACTCTGTGAGAGGCTGTCTCCAAATTAAAAAGGAAAAAGTAGTTGGAGCTTTAGCTCATTGTGAGAGCCCTGGGCTCAAGCCCCTGTACCACCATTACTAAAAAAGATGAGAGAGAGAGGGACAGACAGACAGACAGACAGACAGAGAGAAAGACAGAGAGACAGAGAGAGAACCAGAACTTCCTGAAAAGTGGTCACGTGCCAGCAGGCATGGTAGTTCCTGCAGCCCTTGGGGAGGCTGAGGCAGAAAGATTCTGCAAATTCAAGGACAGCCTGAACTACATAACAAAGCCTGTTTCAAAAAAAAGAAAAGAAAAGAAAAGAAAAAAAGAAAGAAGAAAGAAAAAGAAAGGAGACAGAGAGAGTCAGAGGGAGAGAGAGCGTGCCAGAGACCAGGGGTAGAAAGGCTCCAGGCCCCTTACAGTTCTTGCAGGACTCTCATTGCCAGATGGACGACAAATGAATTCCAAGGCTCCTGGGGTAGGAAATACTTCCCAGAAAAGCTCCCTGCTGGTTCTGGGTCAGGTTCACTGCCTTGAATGTTGGGTAGAGAGTCCGTGCTTGAGGATGACCAGGAGTCCCTTGGCCTGGCCTGCTCCAAAGCCCGAACCACCAAAGTCTCTGCCCTGTGTCCATAATGCACAAGGCTCCTGACCCAGGTAAGGGTCTCCCTGCCTTTTCCCCTCCTCTTCCTCCCTCCATTCTAGGCCTGGACTCTACTTCTCAGCTCCCAGAGGGAGTGCTGTCATTTTCCATGGGTTCCTCATGAAGCTCCAGCACATCTGGCAGTCCTGGCAGGAGGCTGGCTAGACTCACACTCGGGGTTCTGAGTGTGGGCCCGATCCGCTCCAGGGGCTTGCGCTGAGGCTTAAGTTCATGGGTTTGCTCACTACTGAGATATCCATTCAGTCACTTTCCAGGGACATGGCATTGGGCTGGTGACCACACCTCTCTGGACATAGTCTCCAACTGGAAAACGAGGACAAAGCCTTGTCCACAGGACAGGAGGCGGAGCACAGCAGTCACTCACAGGTGGCACAGGGGATACCCACAGTGAGTTCCCAGTAACCCTGTACCATGGAGGTGCTCACCGCACTTTCCTGGGCCAGGGATAGGACCCTGTGTTTGCTTCTTCTGCTCAGGGCAGCCCAAAGCCAGCTCTCTAGGCCTCAGTTTCTCTGTCTGTAGATAGGTGAAGCAGAATCTCAGGTGTCCTGTCATGACACAGAGTACTAAGAACAAGCATGTCCATGCCTACCACAGCTTTAGCAACCTGTTCACAGATAGCCTTGTGCGTCTGTGGCCTGCAGGTGTGGAGTCTAGGTGGCCCAAGGTAGGGATGTGACTGCCTCCTTCCCTGCCCCTCGGGTGACTGCAGTTATCTCCTCCAGACAGCTCCTTCCCCCAACCTTGCCCTCTGGCTACTGCTTATCTCCCTGATAAACATCCCAGTGTCCAAGGAAAGGTCTGTCTGTGCCCTTCAGGGCCCTCCCTGCCTGGACTGGACTCATCAGCACAGCCCCTGAGGATCCTGGGCCTTTGACTCCAAGGATGCCTGGTAGGGAAAAGGCTTAACCCCCAGGGAGGCTGGCTGTCCTGCTGCTGGTCACCTTCCTGTTAAAGGCGGTAGGGGATCTGATCTGAAGAGGGAGGCAAGGTCTTGCCTTGGAGATTCTAAGGGAAGGTGAGTCCCAGATTCCTCCAGAGGGCCCCATGCCCTGCACCCCACCCCTATCCCAGTTCACGCATTACACAGCCTTTGGCCATCAGGACACTGAGCTATGACCTGTAGCAGAGAAGGTCTGCTCTGAATCATGAGCTGTATGTGGCTTTTAGCCACAAATTGGGGCCTGGATCCCGTGGATGAGGCCGTGGAACAGCGTGCATAGAAGAGGAATGCAAGAGCCAGTGGTTTCTTGAATGCCAGCTCCAGACAGTGTGGACCATTGACACAGGACCCCAACAGAGGGATGGGCGCTCCAAGGGTCCTGCAGGACCGAGTCAGCTTGTGCCTCTCTGCAGATAGAAGCAGTATTCAGAAAGTGAACAGGCCACAAAAGAGCAAATCTTCCCTTCCCTTCAGTCGAAGAGCTGAGGGCCAGGCCTACTTCTTTTCCCAGCTGCAGCCTGATGCCCACGTTGGCAAAGGCAGTCTGTCTGTTTTTCTGTCTGTCCACAGCCTCAGTGCTCAGCCATCCCCTGCAACATAGTCACAATGAAAAAATACCTGTTAGCCAGAAATCCTAGCTGTCTGGGAAGCTGAGGCAGGAGGTTTGCAGGTTTAAGCTCAGTCTGAGCAATTTAGCAATTTAGAGAGATGCTGTCTCAAAATAAAAAAAGAAAGGGGGTGGAGAGACTGGGGATATAGCTCAGTGCAAAAGCCTTGGATTCAATTCCCAGAATGAGAAAGACAGAAAGAGAGAGAGAGATCTGTTGATGAATGAAGCTTGGCTCCACCTGCTTGCATACCTGAGTTCTCACCTGCAAATATTTTTTCATTGAAAAAAATTTCTCACTTATTTTGTGCCAAAGTAACTCTCAATACATGTCCCTGCTGTCACTGATCACTTTACAGCTGTCCCGGAACCAGCCAGTGCACTGATGCTGGGGCTGGCTGGGAGCTGGTTACGTTTCACACCCAGCAACCACCTTTGCACCATCACAGTGCACACACTGGCACTGTGAGCAGCCTGGTGTCCCGAACTTAGGCTCCTTATTCATAGAAAGAGCAGGGGTCTCTTTTCTTTCTTTCTTTTTACTTGCATTCAGTGCTCAGCATGTATTTACTAAGCACACGCTCTGGGATCAGCCTATGGGTGAGGTGATGGGACATAGCAGCAACCAAGAAAATCTCAGCCCCCTCTCAGTAGCACAGGCAGATATCAATCAAGAAAGCACATCCTGCGGCATAAGTACCTGCCTTGCAAGCAGGCAGTCATGAGTTCGATCCCCGGAAAAAAAAAAAAAAAAAAAAGAAAGAAAGCACATCCTGGACGATCTAATTATGTATTCCGGGGTGCTCTGAGGAGGAGAGGGGGCCGGAGCAGGCAGGCACCAGAGCATCTGTCAGAGCCACGGGCCCTTGCCCAGCAAAGCCATGAGTATCAGGAGGACAGGAGACAGAACACATTCCAGGTAGCAAGAAAAACCTGGGCAAAGGCCAGACGGCCAGAAGGACCCTTAAAATCTGAGAGCTCTTGGTGCAGTTAAAGTGGGAGAGGAGCTGAGAGCTCCCAGGCAGAGGCAGGAAGGAGGGTGGAAGTGAACAGCGCACAAGCCACAGTTCATGAAGAAGACGCAGGAGGTCAGGGGTGAGTCTGAGCAGTCCCAATCTGGCTGCCAGATACCAGATGGATTCTGAAGGATTTTGATCCCAAAGTCTGGAGCTGATTTTTCGAGTATGTCCAGGGTTATGGGTTTTTCATTTGTTCTGTTGTCTCCCCCATGCCTATCCAAACCTCATGCTCCTAAGGGCAGAGGTTAGGTCTGTATCAAATTTATTTCTGAGGGCCCAGTATCCACACTATAGGATGAGACCCAGGTCAGAAGCCAAGCAAATGCATGCTGTGTGGGGTGCCCTACTGTCTGTCTATGCCTGTGAAGCTGTCTGTTTGGACCTGTCAATACCTGTGCGCTTGTGTCCTCGGCTTGGTCAGGCCTGACTCTGCCCTGTCAGGAGGACATCAGGATGTAAGTCAGGCATGCAGGAAGCAGACTGTGCTGCCTGCCAGCTGGGGAGGCTATGGTCTGGAACCCCCACCTCATCCTATCCCGCCCTCAACCATCATGGACACAGCTGCCAGCTCCATGCACTTAGGACAGATCAGCCCAGCATTCGGAGGTCCTGTCCACAGAATCACCTCCACCCAGCCTCAGCTTGGGCAAAGGAAATGAAGCCAGAAAGTTGAGGGTGGAGCTGGGGACAGTTTGGATACAGACACCCATGAGTGGGAACTAGAGGATAGCAGCCCTGACTCAGGGAAGGATGGCCCAAGCTGCTCCTGGGCTTCCCGCAGGCAGCCAGGGAAGCAATAAGCTCTGTGTCGGGGGAGGTCTGCAAGTGATATGAGCTCCCATCTTCTGCTCCCCCAGCAGGTACCCTGTGCTCTGTTGCAGCTCTAACAGCCTCTCCCTCCTGCCCTTGGAGCTGGTCACTGGCTATATGCTGCTGGGAGGTCCCCACCCTCTCTATCCCTGCCCTGCCTCCCGAGACAAAGAAGGAGGCTAACTCAGGGTGGTTGTTTCCTTACCTTTTCAGCACTCAGCACCACACAGTAATTGCAGGTATTCTCAACATTTAGAATAACCATCTTATAAAATAAAAACAGTTAAAGTCTCTAACCAATTAGTAAAAATGCAGAAGATACTTTAATTTCAGAAAATCTAAGTATTTCTTTCTTTTTTTTTTTTAAATCTAAGTATTTCTCCAGAGGTCTGAGGTCCATGGTCAGAATGGGAGATCCCACACCCTTCCCTGCTGACACACACACACACCACACACACACACGCCTCTCACTCCTCTGGTCCTGTCCGGAGGAAATCCAATGCAATGCTGCCACATAGCTGGCCAAAAGGTCCTCTGATCTGGGTGGACCAGTGCTTCTGCCCACTTCTTGCTGCTGTGACAGGTCTCACTCTCCGCTCCTGGGATCTGTACTCTGTGCTCTTCCTAGAATCATCTTCTCCTCTCTCTGCCTAGGTAAGGGCACCTTCATCCTTTGGTCTCAGTGCATTTGCCTCTTCCTCCAGGAAACCTTCCCTAACCTCACCAGGTCTTCTCAAAGCCACCATTTACTCCCTGACAGAGCCTGCTCATTCTATCCTGTCCCTGCCTGTCTCTGTGACTGCCACCTCCATTGCCACTCAGTCTAGAGGCTCAGCGCACTGTCTGGCCCAGAGAACATACTCACAAAGTGTTTGTTGAATGAATGAATAAATAAATAAATAAATGCCTTCAAACTCAGGGCTAGCCCTGACCGGTGTTTTGGCTCTAGGCTCATTATCAGACCCCAGAAGGGCATAGGTTTGCCCCCAAGTGCTCAGTTCTGGGGTGTGGGATCTGGGGATCCTTGTACTGGGGGGAGGGAGGTACATGTGTCCAGAATTGTTTCCTGATGTGATCTAGGTCCTTGCGAATGGCCCAGCTTGAACAGGAAGCAGGAAGGAGAGCTCAGCCTTAACCATCTCCGATTTGGAGGAAATGCAGCCTGTAATTTGGAAGGCTAATTTGGTCTGAGGTTAGAAGAGAGCACTCTCTCCCTAGGGAGGAAGCATCCCTCCCTGAGGACCTGGCCTCTCACTTGCAGGTCATGCTGCTCCAGACTGCCACAGCCCCAGTGGCGCACCTAAAGAGCAGGCAGCTCTGTTAGGGAAGAGGAAGGGAAGGAAGAACGTGGACCCAGCTTCCATGACCACTGACTGTCCTTGGGGTAGTGGGGCCAGACATTGGAAGAGCCACAGAGGGTTTCCAAGGACCTGAGCCCCACGTTATCTCATCCCACATGCACCCCAGCTGATCATGCCCTTTAGCTGCTCCAGAGAAGCATGGGGGGAAACGGGCATTATTTTAACCCAGCCGAAGAAGCCTCTTCTCCAGCAACCCCTGGCCCTGATCTCTGCCACTCCTGAGGGCTGCTCCCCTCAGCCACACTGAGTTACTTCAAGTGCCTCCAGCAGGGAGGCCACTGTCATGCACTTCTAGCCTTTGAGCCCCTCTCATCCCCTCTCCTGTGAAGTCCACCAGCCTGGTCCAGGAGCCACCTCCACATCCCTGCCTTCCAGGTGCCCTCTCAGGATACTTGCTCAGTGAGAGTGAAGCCCAGTCATGGTCGTTGCAGTGACCTGAGTATTGCCTGAGACCTAGCTCGGCAGACTATGGCACAGATGGGGAGAGAAACTGCTGCAGTTTGTTGACCTCAGGGCGCTGCACTGCACGTGGGCTGAGCTCCCAGTGCTAGGTCACCATGCAGCAATCGTGGCCCCTCCTCATCCAAGCTGCGAGCCTATTGGCCCAGGTACATGGCAGCGGGGCTGGCACTGGTCTTGGCGTGATGAGTTGGGCAGAAGCTCTGGAGAAGGTCAGAGCAGGCCTGGGCAGAGAGGAGCTAGAAGGTGTGGCTCCGATGCCGTGCTGGGTGAGAGATTCTGGGGCCCGGGGCCAAATACTCTTTGGGACAGCTACAAGTGTCCATCCTGGATCTGGTGTTCAGGGCAAGCCTGGGGACACCCAACAATCCCTGAGCCACTGCCCCACCCCCACTCACCCATACCCTGGCAGCTTCTGAAACTTCTGCTCAGCTCTAACCGTCTGTCACTGGGGCTGGTGATTCACACACTCCACTCTTCTTTCCTCTTCCCAACTAATTATAGCTCCTGACTGTTTTTCCCTCTGGAAAAATGTCTTCTTAAAAAATATATCTCCAAGCCAGCAATAATTAATTTAGTGAACATCACTATGTACAATTCAGACCGGCTCTGAGGACAGGTAGGTGTGGGGGTGTCTACTGACCAGAGAGGAAAGACTGATGGAAGATGTAGGGTGCACATGGGGACAAGCAACAGAGCCCAGCCAGCTCTTATCTGCCATCCGGACTCTGGGAGCCCTAAGGACAGCAGTCACAGCAGCAGTAATGGGACCTATCGAGCACAACTGGGTACTGGGCACAGGGCCAAATGTCTTCCATGTGTGTGATATTTAATCCTCTGACAACTGCTAAAGGAGGCTAAAGGCTGTAGGCCCCACTCTTTAGAAGAGGAACTGAGGCTCAGAAAGTCATCCAGGGACGCACAGCCATCGGTGGCCTGAGCAAAGGGAGGCCCAAGGCCATTAAGCCCTCCAAGGGACAATCTAGCATATAGCTCCTGCCCTGTTTCTTCCTTGCCTTCTGGCAAGGAAGCATAGCAGTTTGCCAGCACAGAGACAAGCGTTGCCCAAGCTCTTTCTGGGTCCAGTGAGCCAAAGCTTGGAGTAGATGTCTGAGCAGTGACCTGGGCAGCAGGGAGGATCCCAAGCAATAGGCAGGAGCAATCTGAGACTGGATCAGAGGAGCCACTCAGAGCTAGAGAGGAGGACAGGGACCCACGGGGCACCTGCAGAGATGGAAGGTCAGAGAGGTGGTTCGAGGACAGCCAGGTCTAAGTCTGGATGGAAGAATTTAGATAAAACCAGAGAGAGCAGAGAGACTGAAGAAAAGAGACAGAGCAAAGAGGGCAACTGGAAGGGGCCAGTGATTTAGCTCAGTGGCATAAGTGCCTGCCTGGCAAGCACAAGGTCGTGAGTTCAATCCCCAGTACCAATAAAAATAAATAAATGAATACATAAAAAGGGCAGCTGGAGTCTTTGCCTGAGTGGGAGGGAGAGCTGGGATGAGAAGGGAGGACCAGGCATGGGGGTCTAAGACAGAGCCCAGGAGAAAAGCAGTGCTGCGAGGAGGGTAGAAGAAGAAAGAGGAAAGTGTTGCTGGTGGGAGGGCTCTGAGACACGGAGGGCTTTAGTGCTCCAGGCTCAGCCCACAGGTAGGGATACAGTGCCTCTCACGTCTGGAGAGAGCACTGCCAGGAGCCAGTGTGCACTCTGAGCCAGGGCCTTAGGGGAACCGAGGGTGGCTGGAGCAAAGATACAGGGAGGAGGTGGCAGCAAACCTGGGCCTGCCCTGGACAGTCCTTCCAAACTCAGACTCTGAGGTTGGCCAGCTTCCCCCCCACCTTAGCACACAAGTGAGGATGGGGAAGGTCTAAATCACCCCGCTTCCTGGATGGGGCACCTTAGTGTTGCTGAGACACCCCCCTACCTCACACTCCCCACCAACCATTAGGAAACATGTCCTTTCTACCAGCCCCCACAGCCTGAGGCCTGTCCCGACATCAGGATGTCACGCAGGCCAGGCCAGGTCTCCTCTAGCCTATTACAAATGTGCCGCTTCCTCAGACCCTCAGGACAAGGTCTGCTACTCCCTCACATCCCTAAGAACAAGGATGGACACCCCTCAGACCCTTTAGGACAGGGCTCCCTACCCTGTAGACCTCTCAGGACTAAACCTGCTACCTTCTCAGACTCCTCGAGACAGGGCCCATTACCCCCTCAGGCCTTCACAATAAGACTTACTGCCCCACAGAACAAGCCCAGCTATCCCCTCAGCCAGGCTCCTCAGGCTAGGGCCCCTCCAGTCCCTCCAGGCCAGGCCAGGCCAGAGACTAGCCTCTTCCCCCTCTGACCTCCAGGATCCTTCCTGCAGCCCTCAGTCATTCTCTGCCTTGGCAATATAGGAGGTGTTGACAGCCTTGCTAACCACAGGCAAACTGCCCTTGGCTCCAGCCCTTTCTACCCCACCCCACCCCAGTTTCTCAGGACACCTGACACAGCTGCTCTCTACCCTGGGTCAGGGCTCATTGCCTGGGCTCCGTTAACCATGCAGCTGTCAGGATTTCCGGTACAGGGGGCCTCTCAGCCACAATCTCGTCTGGAATCCCCTGGACATGTGTGCACTCTTCTGGGGTCTGTGTGTGGACCTTGGAGCATGTGTCACAAGAAAGCATAGAGCAGGTGGCCTTGGGTGGCCTTGAGTCCAGAAGACTAGCACAGGCCTGGAGGTGACATGAGGCACAGGAACAGAGAAGAAGTAGCTGCTGACTCTGGGCAGGGCTTTGGCCTCTGTGCAGGAGACAGGTGCCACACAACCACCTCACTAGTGGTCAAGGTAGCCCCTGGGCCTGGGATTTTATGATACCCAGGGCATCTGGACGAAAATACCTATTTCATGGGTCCCCCAAACCAGCCAGAAAATCTTTTGCAAAGGTTTATAACAGGAAGCAACCCAGGGGAGGGTTTGGGTTTATCTAGCCCTGTGTTTGGAGAGACAACTGACCTCAGTTTCTTTATCTATAAAAATGGATCCACCAGTAGTTCTTCCTCAGAACGCTGTGAATAAACCATATTTCACACTGGAAACCGGATGGCTATGCTGCAGGCAGCCCGGCTTCCACCAGAAGCTCCAAGTCTTTACTTGGAGCCCACTTTCCCCCTCTCCTGGAAGCCCTCATTGCCCAGTTCCTGCCCCTTTGAAGCCTGGGGAGGGCCAAACCCAGATTTGAAGGGAAGAGAAGGCTTGGATGGTGGCAGGGAGTCGGGAGACCCTGGAGGGTTCCCACCCCTATCCCCTTGCAGGAAGCAGCAGCAAGCTCTCCTCAGGCCTCTGAGCAGGAAGGACTGTGCTAGGGGAGTGCTTTCTGCTCCCATCTGGCCGCTCCCCGGGCTCAGCCAACCTCTGTGCCTCCGCTCTGGCCTGGGCCACCGTCCAGTTCAGCTAGCTCCTCTGACAAGAAGAGAGCAAGGAGAGATGGCTACCCCCATCCCAGACCGTTTTTAGCCCCTTGGGAACTCGGCGTCCTCCCAGCAAGGGTGCGTGGGTCGTGGCGGGTATTAATAGCTCAGCTGGAGGAGGTGACAGGGACTCTCACAGCCAAACTCCAGAGGCCTCAGAGCCTGGCCAGATAGGGCAGCCCCCTGGTCCCCATCTTCCTTGTTGGCTCCAAACTTCACCCTTCCTGTCCCCCAGGGGTTCTCTCACTGTCCAACCCCTCCCCCCTCATACATGCCTGACTGTCCTCTTGGCTGAATCTTCCTGTGTTTCTGTGGGGAGAGGGGGCCCTCTTGGGTCATGGCCCTGGTGGGCTGGTGGCCTGAGGCTTGTCCATGACCAGGCCCTGTGGGAGATGAGAACAGAGGAGCCTGTGATAAAGCTTCCCCCTTGTACCCTTCTCCTTGGCCCACTGGCCTCTCATTCCTGCTTGCCTGCTCCGCCTCTGGCTTCTCCTCTGGTGCTGTGTGGGTTTGTGCCCAAATGTCTGCCTGCACGGGGCTGAGAACAGAAAGATGGGAGAAACCAGATGGGAGAATTGGGCGTGGAAAGTATGACTGGAGAGGGCCTAGAACCTTGGCCCGGAGCTGAGACTCATACCATGGGG